TCCTGTGCGCCGCTGAGCTTCGCCGTCCTCAAAGACCGTGCGGAAGAAAGGGACATTGAAGCTCAGGCAGCGTGGAGAGCAGAAAAACACAGCTTGATGACAGATCATTCCAAGACAGTAAATAATGCTGCTTTATTTTAAATGGAAATACACAAAATCTCAGGAATTGAGTAAAAGATTAAATGGAGCCTGTTTAGGTGTACAGTCCAACACAAGACAAGACACATGGAGTCAAAGTCAGACAACAATAAAAAAAAAAAAAAAATTTGATATTACCTGTAAAAATACAGGGAAGCAGGCAGGACCCAAATGCAGCATCCAAGGGTTTGTTTATATTCCAAACTGAAATCAGGACAGTAATCCACAGAAAAAGGAACAGGCCAGGCAGGAACAACAAAAAAACAAGGAGAACGAGAACTAACCGCAGACCAGGAACATGCAGACCCTCAGGTAAACACGAACAAACATCATAAACCCACAAAGACAGAGTGAGGGACTGAGGTATTTATACCCAGGACACCAGGTGACAGGAGTTAGACAGATTAACAGGAAATCGCAAGACACAGGCGGGTGTGATGACACTGGTTAACCCCGGAAAAACAGACAGCACGAACAAAAAGCTCACGAAATATCAGCAATTTGTGTTGCTTTCTAAAGCAAAACGACCCCTGGTTTACAAGACCAGTGCTCTAACCACTGAGCTATGAAGCCATGTAAAACCGAGCACTTTATGCACTTTTATGCTTAAACATAACTGTTTTCTGCTCTAGTTTGATTCCTGTTTGTGTTTAATTTACACCACTTTTTATAAATTCTAAGGGAACGTCCCAAAATGATGTAGCACCTTTTCTTTATTTGAACGCCCCAAAATGATTTGGGGCTCGCTTCAAGTTGTCACTATTTTGTTTTTTAATCAAATTCTGGCTTTTATGGTATATAAATATCTGATTCATTTTAATTAAAAAAATTTAATTTAAAATAGCTTTTGACAGATTTTCTGGTACCTTTCAGTTAATGTAATTATATTATCATATATATAATACATTCCAAGTGCATCCACATGGAGCCATGTGTAGAAATATTCTGTGTATAAATATAATTTTAAATATATCTGTATATATATTTATATATGTGCAATATATGTATATGTACAGTATAATAATATCACCTTTTTTTACAATTGTCATTTTGTACATAGAACTGTATATTTATCAAGGGAAAATGGACCTCTCTCTATATATATATGTTTGTATATATATATATGCAGATATATGGCACTGTATTAGGTTATAGGATGACACTTCAAAGCTTTATACATTTCAAGTACATCCACATGGAGCCTTGACTAGAAACATTAAATAAAGAAGAAAGAAAGAAACATAATCAATGGAAACATATGCGTTGGATGGAACGATGCGGTTCCGAGTTAATGTCTTCCACTCCGTGTTGTGGTCCCGCTGTTTCTTCAAACACAATTACAGTATCAGGTTATCACCGACGTCCTCACGAGCTGAGCGAACGACGAGAGACGGAGCGGACTTTGATGCTGCGTTCTGACCAGATTTTCCTGAAGATCACGACTGGGTTAGATTATCATCCAACCACTCCTCACCTGCTGCCTGTGTGTCAGACACGATCATCGTTTTAAAGTCAGGAAGTATAAATAACAGGCCTCTAATTTGACTGCACCGCCGCGGTTTGCCGCGCTGCTCTGATCACACAGTCTGCTGATACCACGGTGGGCAGAATCAAACACACTGGCATGTTTACGTGTGGCTTTTTTGTGGTCACTATGGCGAGGAAGTGGACTTGTCTGGGGAGTCTGGATTTAATCTGTGGTGTGCAGCGCTAACGCTAGCTGCTGCGGCTGAAATTGATTAATTCGGAGACAACATGAAAAAGGGGGAATAAACTGTGTCGGCGAAGAAAGAATGAGGGTCGACATTCTTCCTTTTGTTTCCATTTTAACGACAAACATCAGCATATAAATTGCAGTATAAAGTACCATTATTTTGGGCTAATTTTACTAGCCCAAATGTTTTCCGGTGTTAAAGCTACATCTGGCCCATTAAACCGAGTTGTATCCCTGTCTAATTTATTAACTGTTGATTGATAGATTGTTAGCATTGTTGGCATCACAGTGAATAATGCAATGGTGGTGAGGATTCCCAGTGAGGTTAGTGCAGTTAGCGTCCACGTGGCGCTGAAAACAAACAATCCGCCCGGAGACAGCATGATAATCCAGGAAACGAATAACACAGGAGACAACAACCATGGTGGTAACTCAGAGAGCCGTATCATTTACCACTAATACGTGGGCCAGCGCTGTGGCACCGGTGCCTTGGTGAGGTGGTGTTTAAATGCACCTGTCTCCAGTTGGGGAAATCAGAAGCAGGTGATGATCTGTCTGAGTGTGATTCACAGCAACTATCCATAAAACCAAACAACAACAACAACAAAAAAAACAAAATCTAGAAATCATCGTTTATGTCCATGTTTTTTTCATACAAAAACACCGTTTTCATCTAGAAATCATCATTTATGTCCATGTTTTTTTTCATACAAAAACACCGTTTTCATTACCAACGATTGCAAACCAAACTGATAAAAAAACAAAAAAAGCAGTATAATTAAATGAGTTTTAAAACAGCGTCACACAGTGAGATGCAGACAGCACCACGACGAAACATGAAACAACCTCAAAGGCTTGTGTCATGTTTGGTTTTTCCAGCAGGGGTTAGGGTTCTGGGTGTGGTCCATTGTATTTGTCCCAGCCCAGAGGCCAGTTGTTTTCATAATCCATCCTCAGACCAAAAAAAGAACAATGTTAACATGTCCACATATCAAAACATTTTGGTTGTATTTCTGGCGGAGTTCAACGAGTCTAGATATCTCTGAGTGTCTTTCGGTGTTTTTTTGGGGCAAACCTTGAAGTTACAGGGCTAACTCTTAGCTTTATTTGGACTCATTTAAAGTACAATTAATCTCTTTTTTTTTACAATTAAATCTTTCGCCTGCATTTAAATGTATTTTGAACTTAGATTTAAATAAAACATAGAAAAAATTAAAACCACTTGTTTGGGAACTTTTAGTTGATTTGGTGACCTTAAAGCCATTTTTGCTTACATTTATTTTAAATTTCTATTGTTTTTAGAATGTGGCTGCTGTTAGCTATTATCATTATGATTCTATCTATCTATCTATCTATCTATCTATCTATCTATCTATATATATATCTAGCTATCTATCTACCTAGTTAGCTAGTTAGCTAGCTAGCTAGCTATTGAAAACCAAATGTAATTTATTTTTGTAATTTTGCAACAAATGAACACCGTACATTTCATCATGTGGTGAGACTGAAAGGATCCTCAGGCCGCAGCAGCTGTGTGTTGGTCTAAATGCAGCTGATGTCATTTGGTTAGCGTCCCAGCTCCAGACGGCGCTCTGTTGTGTGAGAGCCAAAATTTGAATAACAAGTGTTCAGGAATGACCAACTGTTTAGGGCCCTCGCAGGGTCGTCGTGTGGAACAATGGAGCCTGGTTTTCTGGGGAACAACCACGTTACACTGGACTGAGTTGAACTAAGTCTGTCTTGAAATACGTCGGTAAAGGTTTCAGGTTTGGAACGGAAAAAATATCATTTTATAAAAAAAAACAACAAGTTAGGAACGTTAGCATCGAGCTACGTGTCATCTGAGGACACAGAGTTTGTTTCCACCAGTATTGGGTATTTCACGGTGTAAGCTATGACATTTATGTCCATTAGTTTTCCTTGGACTAACGCTCCACTTACGCCAGGGGTGTCAAACTCATTTCCACCAGGGGGCCACAAAAAAAAAACTTGGACCATGCTGAATGCTTTTTAAGCTCTGGCGGGCCATACAAAATAGCTTGGCGGGCCGCATTTGGCCCCCGGGCCTTGAGTTTGACCCATATGACTTATGCAGTTTTGTTCAAGAAACTTCAGTATTTCATTTCAGATGTACTTTTTTATCAATATGACATTCAATGAAGTCATCATCAACTGGTGGCCCACGGGCCGAATCTGGCCCACTGACCCATCCAACAGGACACTATACCAAAATTGTAAGAACTAAAAGACAAATATTATATGGTCCTAAAAATCAAATATTATCAAATAATAATGTTCGACAAAAAAATATATTTTCATTTCATGGTATTTGACTTTCATAGTTCCAGCCCGAGCCCATAGCCCGGGTGACCCCTGGCCTAGCCCATATGGGCTGGTACACTTTATATACTTTTTTGCCATGAACTTTTATTCATGGTTTGTCTCCACAGTGTCAACTATGTAACAACGATGTCACAAAAACGGAGTTCATTCTTTACCAATATTCACACACACTCAATCGCTCTCTCTCTCTCTCTCTCTCTCGCCCCCTCCCCGACCCACACTGATAATCGAGGGTATGTGAGCACTTCATGCGTTCCCTAGCCCCTTAACAGTAACCCTCCCCTCTCCCCCCCCCCCCCCCGCCACTCTCTCTGTCTCCTCTCCGTCTCTTTGTTTGCAGAATTCCACTGAACTTTATTTAAAAACACCGTCCGTCCCACAAAGGGGACAGAGTGGAGGACAGGCCTGATACCACTCCTGCTCCAGGAACGCAGCCAAATCGCTGAGGTGACCCCTGCTGGAGGGTCAAGCTGAAGGTCATAATAACAAATCCACTATTTCTCACGTAACAAAGAAACAAACGGCGTCTCCTCCAAACCAGATAAATTATATATAATACCCCCCCCCACCTCAGGTAAAGTTATACAAGGAACATGCACACACACGTAGCACATATTGTGTATCCTACACACACATTCAAACACACTTCGTTTCTATCTTTCCCTCATTCAGCTCTCCCTCTCTCTCCCTCTCTCTCTCTCTCTCTCTCCCCCCTGCTGTGTCCCTGACTCCCATGCTGCATTCAAGCTCCCCCCACAAGGCGGGGCCACGGTGGAAACTTACAAATACACCCCCCCTTCACCACTGGAGTGTATCTGCTCCACAGTGATGCACGTTGATGGACCTGCCGTTCGTTTTCAGCTCTAGTTCCATATGGACTTTGCCTTGAAGATCCTCGACGCGTCATAGTTTTAATTTAAATTTTTTTTTTTATTATATAAATCATAACCATGTTGAAGAATAATGGTAAGAAAACAGCCGTGTGCCTGCTCAGCACGGCAGCTCTCTCCCTGCTGCTGCTGCTCCTGGTGGCCGTGCACCAGCGGGTCCACCGGGTGGATGAGGGCACGCGCGGCGAGGGTCCGGAGTCGGGAGATGCTGCGGCCAAAACGGAGGAGCTGGACGCTGCGGCGAAGAAAGGATTCTCGGCGTACTTCAGCAAACTGAGCCGCGGGCGCAGGGAAGCGGAGAAACCCGCGGGGTCACCGCTCTCCTCCGCCGAGCCCCCTCGGGTGGAGGACATCAGCGCGAATGACATCTTCATCGCGGTGAAGACCACCAAGAAGTTCCACCAGTCCAGGCTGAACCTGCTGCTGGACACCTGGATCTCCAGGAACATGCAACAGGTAGATTCCGAACTTTAACTTTCTCATGTGTTCGTTGAAGTGCGGTGCATCACCAGTCCACTGCACGCCCACACTCACCCATGATGACACAGTGACGCAGCCGCTGTAAACTCTTCCAAATGTCTCTCTGCTCTGTCACTTTCTGTTCTCCTCTGAGTGATGTCCCTGAGAACGAGGCCTGGGAGCTCTGTGAGGACTCCCCTCTCTTTCAGCCCTCTCCCCCCTTCTCACTCCCCGCTCTCTCTTTCATCCCCTCTCCTCTCTGGGTGTCCCAGTCAATGCCCTCGGTGCAATGGATGCTTCATAGTACCGGGGTTTAGCCAGCTGTCCCCCTTCCAGGTCTAACAAAGCGTCTCTCTCTGATGGGGTGGGTGGGTGGGTGGGGGGAGAAAAGCCTTTTCCCCAAACCCCTTGTCTCCCCTCTCCTCATGGGAACGTGGGAGCTGAGCCTGAGCCGGGCTTGTGCCGGAGCGATGGGAACACGGGGGTCTTTTGTGAGACAGAAGGGGGTGCATATGCGTCTGGTTGTTCCGATGAGTACGTACATGAGAACCGCACCTCTCAAAGCGGGCGCGTGAAAGGTTCCGAGGCGGTCACATGAATGGTCTGCTGCCCATAGATTTGTCAAACGCTTTAGTTCCACTTCTTTTTATCTACATCCGTGCTGGAAATCCTGGGGAAAACGTTGGAGTCTTGTCATCTCAGTCTTGTCATCTCATAAAAGGGGGGAGAAAAAAAACGCTTCAGGGTTGGAACTGTAATATCTTTGTAGACAAGTAGATCTGGGACTGATTTGTTCACTTCAAAGTGCGAAAAAGAGGCCCCCCTGAAATGATCAAAATCTGTCTGGACCAGGGGTGTCAAACTCCTTTTGGTTCAGGGCCAAGTGGGCCGGACGAGTCCAATCGTGACATAATAATCTATGAATAACAAAAAGTCATACGTTTGTTTGCCAAGAAGTACAAATATATCAGATAAATCTTCATATCTGAAAATTTTGCAAAACATGTTTTGAACCTGAAGTGTTTGTATATTATCTTTTATTCCAAAATTCATCAAGTGGGCCAGATTGAAACCCCACGCGGGCCGTTTTGTGGCCCATGGGCCGTATGTTTGACACCCCATGATTTAAACGTTAGTCATGGATTAACCAAAATTAGCAAAAACCGACGATATTAGTGATAGACGCAACCAAGAAGGTAAGAAATATCTCTATAAATAGCCAAGTTGTTCGTATTATAAGTATTGATTAAAACAAGGCGGAGTTAGTATAAATAGCCAAGTTGTTCGTAAGTATTGATTAAAACAAGGCGGAGTTAAACAATAATCAATAGTTTAACAGCTTCAGCCAAAACATATGTTAAAGGTATAAACACCTTCCATTGGCCAGACCTTTAACTCTGCGGCCAATAGCAAGCATGCGATTATTGAATATTCAAACACAGCTTCGTCAATAATAAATGCGTTTGCTACACCAGACTCTCCTCACCGGCTTAAACTGCGACCCGAATGATGGACAATTAGTTGTAATCACTGCCGCGGATGCTGGTAGTTAACCCATCCCTGACAGATTTACCAGCAGCTGGGCTTACGAGTCAGGCAGCTGGTGGACAGGACAGACGGAGCAGCACAATGCAGGAGGGAGTTTCTGGAGGAAGGCTGCCAGGTTGTGGGTAGACGCAGAACAAAGGACAGGGCTTTAATGCCAGCCATATGATGCTCAGTTCTCAGCGTGTGCATATGGCCATCCTCCGTGTTCAGGTTTGATTCCCACGCTCAGCTGAGGAACATCTGTTCAGTGAGGAGACTTAAAGGGCACACGTTACAGTAATGATGAAAAAAAGAAAGGCCTTTTTTTCCTTTTCTTTTTTTTTTCTTCTTTTTTTTAACAGCATGCATATATGTGTATATATGTGCTTATATTTATACACACATATATACACCTATATGTATATATGTGCTTATATTTATACACACATGTATGTGCTTATATTTATACACACATGTATGTGCTTATATTTATACACACATATATACACATATATGTGTGTATAAATATATATGTATATATCTTTATACAAATATATACATAAATATTTGTATGTATGCTTATACAGTATATATTCACACATATACATAAATATGTGCATATATGCTTATACTTAAACACATATATACATAAATTCATATATACATGCTTATATTACACACATATAAATACACCCATATATATAAATAAATGAGAGATCCACATATGCATTTAAACATAAACAAACTTAAAAATAATAAAAAAAAGTCTAATACATTGTAACAGATTCTAATATTACGCCATTAACAGCTAAACGTTATCGTTAAATTGGCGATTGTTACACACTATACTAAAATCTTTGCACAAAATAAGCGGAAATGTAATTGTTGATCACTTTTTTTTTTCTAATGTCAAAAGTCTGTAGAAGACACATGGACATTAAAAGCTTGTAATTAAATGCTAAGCTAAAACAGAAGCTAAATGGACTAAATGTGCTGATGAGAGAAAGTGTTGGAAACAATAGGAAACGGTGGAGCCTGGGTGGAGGTGGACGCAGCAGCCTGATGCCCTTCCTTCCGGCAGCGCTGGAGTCAGTCAGCCAGGCACCACGTCCAGCTCCATGCCAGCCGAGCCTTCCTGTGGTCAAAAGTGCAGCCTGTCTCTTCCTCACCCCCCTCCCCTCCCCTCTCTCCTCACCCTGTCGCCTTTCACCTCTTATCTCTGCCTCACATGACCTAACTATTTTCCCTTTCATGTTTTTTTTTAAGGTGGTATGAATCATTATTCCATGAAAGTAACAGTTCTTTTATGTTTCAGTTAAGGAAACAAAGAGTGAAAGAAAAAGAAAAAAAAAACCCGTCCCCTCGGGAGATTTCTCCTTGAGTTAACTCCTGCAGCTGTATGCAAATGCAGGCAAACATATTTAGGATTTACCCAGTGGAGACTTTTACCCAGCATGAAAACTTGCAGCATTGTTCCATTCAAGGGCTTGTGTATGGCCAAGAGGGGGGGAGGATGCATAAAGATAAAGAGGACAAAGAGAAGGAGGTGTGGGTGGCCACACACGGTAACTGATTCAGTAATCAGCAGTGAAATTCCACCCCCTCCTCACCTCCCCTCCCCTCCCTCTCTCTGTCTCTCTGCTGTGGCGTGGCAGCTGCCTGTCTGATTAGTCTGTCTATTCAACAGGCCCTTTTTTAACCAAACAGTAAAGCTGCTGCCACCCTTCCTAAAACAAATACAGGGAACAAAGCGTTTGCACCAGGCAGCATCTGCACACAGTTTGTCACATAAACTGTTGCTGCGGAGGAAAAAGCAACGTGATGAAAAAAAAAAGAAAAAAAAAAGACTTATTGTTCCATTCTGCAGTCTGCTCAGAGACATGCAGATCACAAGTTGCGGGGCAGCAGACCGGAAAGAACGTGAGACGCATATGATGAACAGAACAAAAGATCAAAATGGCCGACTTCTGGCGACGTGAAAGGAAGACATGTCCTCAAAATGCACTTTGGCTTCTATAGAACTAACGCACAGCCAGAAAGTTTGGTTTTAGTCGGAAAAACCGTGTTCGTGGGTTCTACAGTAGGGGGCGCTGTAGAGACTTTTTTAACAAAGCACTAGCGTAAAGTGGTCAAACAATGTTTGACTTCTGTCGCAGGTTAAACGGGCGTCAAACTAATTTTGCTTTTAGATGTCGAGCGGGTCGGACCTGTACAATCGTAACATAATTCCCTATAAATAACAAAAAGTTTGTCTTTTTCCCCTTTGTTTTCATGCAAAAAAGTACATTAGATCTTTATATATAATGAAATATAATTTTACAAAATATTTCCCGAACATGAAGTCTTTGTATATTTTCACTTTTTTAAAAATTCATCAAGCGGGCCGGTTTTGGCCCGGGCGCCGTATGTTTGACACCCCTGGTTTAAAATCTGTTCAGTTCAGACCCAGGTGAATTATTATATAGTTATTATAATTTCCCTCAATTCTAAGATGCTAATGTAGTTAGCCCACAATAGACAATCAAATGGAACGGTCTGTGCCTGAGCCCTCTGGGAGGATGTTGTGACGTGTTGCACAAGCCAGTGAGTTATAATGACTTGCACGGCACCACGACCGGACGTGTAAAGACACGTGGCTGGGATCAGGCAGCCTGATGTTGGGCAGGTGCGGCCACACCTGAGCCGAAGAGTAAACAAGACCACTGGCGGTTAGCAAGACCCGGCAGCGGCGGTCTTTTCATTATCTCCATTCACCGGTTTGCACCTGCTCAGAGCGAGGAGCCTAATCTCCCGGCGTTGTAAATGCCTGTTATGACTGTCTGCTACAGTTAACAAGTGTCTGCGGTCTCCACACTTACCTTTGAACCTGTTGCTCAAACAGGGGCGCGGACAAAGAATGCTAACTTTTTCCCGCTACTTTTTTTTTTTTTTTTTTTTAGCTGTGTTTGTTGTGCTGAAGGGAGGCAGCAGGTCCGGCCAAGCACAGGGCTCAACCCTGGGAATGGGCCACATGAATGTGGGGTGTGAACAGTTTGCTTGCTCCTTTGTTCTATGTCTGGGATGCTTCAGGGAGGCTGAAGTGTTGCCATGGAGAGAGTGAAACGCTGCACAAAGGCCCTTTATTAGAGCATGGGGTTGTTTAACTGGCCGTGTTTTCCACTGCATAAAGAACGCGTCGATTGATGCTAATCACTCTCGACTACTCCGAAGGAGGAAGCAGGACCGGGTTATCTCCTGGCTTCACGTTATCAATCCGTACTCAGTGTATAGGATGCAGGATGGATAGGATGGACATGTAGGACGCCTGCTTTTGGTTGAGCGAGAGTCAAGTTTTTTGGGGATATGGGATGTGGGCCTCTTCTGTGGGCAAGTTCTGATATCAAGACAACCAGTGGTTGACAAGTGACACAGTGTGGCCGACTTTGGGTTGCATGGAGCAAACAGCAATCTGCACCGCTCAATGGCATATGTGGGCCACATGACAGTTTCATATGTCCTAGAAGTGGGCCACAAATGTTTCGTGAAAAACGGGCTCCTGATTCCTAAAACTGGTTTTATTTTGAAAATGTGTAACTTAGAAACTGAGACGGAGTTTTCATGTTGACTGACCTGTCGTGTTCTCTCTGTGTCCTCAGACCTACATCTTCACGGATGGAGAAGACGAGGAGCTGAAGAAGAAAATCGGTACGTTCGATAACGAAGGGGATTTCATCTGGGGCACAAAGAAGTCATTATTTTATTTTTGTTTTTGTTTTTTTTTAAAAAGGATGAGAAAAATCATATTCCCAAGAACATAAAAAACTCTTTCATGACTCCCCTGCCCCCGGCCTTTCATCTAAAAAGAGACTTTATTAATGATATAAACTCAATTTGTTTTATGTTTCCACAGGAAGTCATGCCATCAACACCAACTGTTCTGCAGCTCACAGCCGACAAGCGCTGTCCTGTAAGATGGCAGTGGAGTACGACAAGTTCATAGAGTCGGGCAAAAAGTGAGTATTCGCAAAACAATTGAAGCATTTGCGTTAGTTAGCCTCATCTGAGCTAGGCTAAGCATCACTTGGAGTCAAATAAAAATTGCTAAAAAAAGCCAAAAACCTTTGTTGAAAAGACATTTTCTAGTTAGCCAGGTAGCTAGCTAGCATTTGTTTGTCCGCTACTGTTGTTTGTTAGTGGTTCAAAGGACTTTTCCTAAGCTAACAACCCGCGTCTGCTTTCCATACGGTGCACTGGGTTTTCAAAAATGACCTACTGCATATCTGTAAAATCTTTTTTCTCTCTTAATGCTACCCTCAGATGGTTCTGTCACGTGGACGATGACAACTATGTAAACGTTCGGACTCTGGTGAAGCTCCTGTCTCAGTACCAACATACCCAGGACATGTACATCGGCAAACCCAGTTTGGACCGGCCCATAGAGGCCACGGAAAGATTGGGTGACAATAAAATGGTATGTCAAAGTTTTTTTTTTACAAATATCAACATCGTTGATACTTTGTTGCTTGTCAGCTGGACACGTTATATTGATGAAACTTCCTGTTTCCTGTTTAAGAAATCCGTCAATTTCTGGTTTGCTACCGGCGGAGCTGGCTTCTGTGTTAGCAGGGGCCTGGCACTGAAGATGAGCCCATGGGCCAGGTGAGGTCACATGAGTTTTTAAGGACTATATGATAGTAGATATAATACTAGAATATAATTAAGATTAAATAGTCAGTTAGAACTGTTTCAGTTCATGTGTAACCAGCTGATGCAGTCGTTATGGCTAATATTAGCACGTGTTAGCACAGAGTCTGAGAAGCTTAAATGCTAATACTGCATGTATTTTGTTTCAATTGAACTTTACAGACATTTGACTTAAATGCTAAGAATTTTCTAAATGTAAATGTAAATCATGTACCTAAAGTTCATACTGTGTTTTTTTTAAATAAGCAAAAATGAAATGTTAGCAAGTAGTAGCCATAAAGGCTAACATAGTATATAGCGAAGAATATAAAAAAGAGAAACAATTTTTAATTTTTGTTGTTTTGTTTTCTACAGCGGTGGCCATTTTATGAACACCGCAGAAAAAATCCGTCTGCCCGACGACTGCACCATCGGTTACATCATCGAGTCAGTTCTGGGAGTTCCTCTGACACGCAGTAACCTGTTCCACTCCCACCTGGAGAACCTGCAGCAGGTGTCGAGGACGGAGATCCACAAACAGGTGAGAAACTGCGGGAAACGGCCTTAATTACAGACTGGAATCATATCCGAATCCACGAGAGGCTGCGTTGTACTGCCCGTGTTTATGGTTCCAAATTTTCTTTCAGGTCACACTCAGTTATGGGATGTTTGAAAACAAGAGTAACATCATCAATCTGAAAGGGGCTTTTTCTGTGGAGGAGGACACATCCAGGTGAGACACCCCATTTGAACTTCCCACATCCTGGATCGAGAAACAAATTAAATCACACTGGTCCTCAAAGCTAACCTTTGACCTTCTCTGTCTTCTGCAGGTTCAAGTCTGTGCACTGTCTCCTGTACCCAGACACCCCGTGGTGTCCCCCTCAGGTTGCCTTCTAGGGCGACTGCTCCTTTCTCATCCTCGTCCCCGTCACGTCTCGGTATCTGAAAGACGTGAAGGGACCAGTGTTTGGTATTAGACCGTGCGGCTACTGTTGCTGCAGTGGTGCGCGGTCTCTAATAGTTTTACTGGGCTGCTGTGCGGCCCGTCTCGGGACTATTTCTTCCTGTCGGGATCCGGGGAGCTTCCCTCAGTGTCTGTGAGGACTCCTGGTCCCGGACAGGAAGTAGCTTTCAGCGTCGACCTTTTGCAGGCAATCATTTGAGCTTTCGTCGATGTGTATGTTGCTTGTAAATGTATCTGCAATTCTCATAGAATGTATTTGTCGAAATAATCCAGCCTCGTTGCCAGCTTTTACACTAACATTTCTCCGCGTTTCGGTTTGAAGACGTGTTCCACATATCCAGGTTTTTAGGTTTTGTCGTGTATATTTGCTTATTTTTCGGGATTTTTATTTTTATTATTGTTCTGCCGATGACTCCGGACAAATTCTCGAGCATGAAGATTTTTTTTTGTGTGTGTGTTTTTAAGTTTACAGTGTTATTTTATCTCCCTGTCTGAGCTGGCAGTGGGCAGATGTCCAAAAGCATCCTACGGTGACCTAATCTGAGGTTTATCGGGACAAAGCACTTTTGATATGATTTTTTTTTTTTTTTGAAGATTTGGGACCAAGCTAAGAAATAATTCACCCCTGGTTCATTCGTATTTAAAAAAAAACACTCCTTGCATTTGTAACAATCAGGGGAGAAAAAAAACAAGGAGTTGATTTGGGGGTGCAATCATTCTTTAATAATCTTTGATTTTATTTTTTTTAAATATAATATTGCACAGCTGGATTTCAAATGAGAGCTGATGTTTACTCCTGGGAAGACGCTAACCTCTCAAGCTTCAACAGAGTTTTAAGACTACGCACTCACAGACCCCAAAAAGCAAAGACGTCCACATGAAACCCGAAACTATCCCTTGGCCAACATGCAACCATTCCATGCCCACATCTGGTATTCAGACCATAGTTGTCTCCAAACTCCATATCAAAAATGTCTGGGCCATAATATGGTCGATCGACAGGCTAAGAGGTTTGATTCCGAATTAGCCTAGCTTTAGCTTACATCCTCGTTACTATACTACGAATGTCAGCTGCAGCTAAAAGCTGGGTTAAACCCTTCTGAATACCACGTGTGGGCCACTCGAGACCAAATGTGGTACGCCAAATACTTCCAGTACGTTGTTGTACGCGGGCCAAGGAAAGTAGCGGTGAACTCATGTCTAACCTAAGTGGGCCAGATGGATTTGCTGAGTGGGTGTGTATCTGAATAATAGTCATTAAAAAAAAAAAGAAAAGAAATAATAACAAAGATGTTCTTCACTGAACTGTGCCGGTACTGTTGCTGTCTGTGAGGTAGAACCTTCCCAGGAACAACATCGGTGCTTCCACATGGAGCTGTTTGTTTTCCCTCCGTGTCGTTTCTCGCCCATATTGGGTGTCGCTGTACATCTGGATTACAGTATTGTGTACTGTGGCTTTTGTTTAGACAAGTAGTTACTGTACAAGTTTAGAATGTAATTACTCCCTCCTCTGTCCCCCCCCCCCCCCCCTCTCCCCCCCCCCCCCTCTCCCTCCGCTCTCTCTTCCATCCCCTCTTTCTCTCCCTCATATTGTGGTTTACATGTGCTTTTAATGACCTGGAAATGATTGTTGTAATGCTTTGAACTGTATGACTGAACAGCTGAGGTTTATTCTCCAGTATCTGGAGGGTTCACACAGTTCACCCACAATTAATGGCTTCTCAGGGATTATGAGCTTGCTCTGTCCGTCGCACGGGGACCCACAGTGGGACCTTCAAGACTTTAAATAAAAGTGCATAACCACTGGGAAACGTAACACCTGCGTCTGTGTGTTGGTTTTTTTTGTATTCTAACACTTTCTATACACAAGAAATGTCTGGAAACTTTCTTATAAAGCAAGTGGGTCAAACATATGGCCCGTGGACCAAAACCGATCCGCTTGGGGATTCAATCCGGCCCACTTGATGAATTTTGAAAACCAAAAAAAAAGTGTTTTGTAAAATTATATTTCATTAAATACATAAGTTTTATCTAATGTACTTTATGCATGGAAACAAAAAGGAAAATGACTGACTTTTTTGCTATTCTACGTACATTACAGTGCAGTTGTCAGATTTGACTAGGTGGCGTTTTGCAGAGTCATTGTAGATCACAAAAAAAAAGTGTTTTGTAAAATTATATTTCATTAAATACATAAGTTTTATCTAATGTACTTTTTTATCTAATGGCGTTTTGCAGAGTCATTGTAGATCATACCAAACACTAAAAGACAAAGTACAGTCTGGAGCAGCTAATATAGTGCAATAAAGTTAATCATTAAGTAGATGTGACCTGGCTCAACACATCTGCTGGCTCAACCAATAGCTGATGTATTCTGGAACCTGTGATTAGGGCTAGACAGAACTATAAATCTTAGTTAGTTAGCTGGCAGAGGTGCCGTGTACACGCAGGGAAAGATGACATCACTCTCCCCTGATACTTTGAACCACGTGTTTGCCAACTTTCACAACCCCAGGGTGGCACTGACACCATCACTCCTGACAGACACCAGACCCAAGTGGTCTCTCAGCAGAATGAGGTAACTGACCAAGAGGAAGTGCTTGGTTATACTGTACAGGAATACGCTGGCAAAGACACAACCTTCACTATAGTCCTGGTACAGAAAATGATTTAAATGACAAAAATAAAAAATAAAAGCATCAGGGACTACCAACAACTCTCCTCCACTCTGACTTCCAGAGGAGGTATCCCTCTGGGTGCTGTTGTAGGCCCTATTCTAATTACACAAAGACGCCATAAACAAATTAACCTATGATACGACACTAGGTTGTGATGCGTGACTAGACGACTATGACCAAATTTGACAGCGCTCTCCATAAACATTGTACCGTTACCAATGGGAAGAACAAAAAAAAACAACAACTAAGGAACAGTTTCTGTCCCAGGGCTGTTGTCCCACTGGTCCACTCCCACAGTGTTTTCATCACAACAGTTCTACATGCACAAACCCTTCTTTTCTGTTGCACCGTCACTTCATGGTCTACCGCACATGTCAAACTCAAGGCCCGGGGGCCAAATGGGGCCCGCCAAGTCATTTTGTGTGGCCCGTGGGAGGTTAAAAAAGGCCTTAAAATAAAGTCCACACTGCAAAGTTGCAGTCGGTCCTTTAAGGGGAACTGTATTGCTGATGTGGCCCACTAGTGAAAATGAGTTTGACATCCTTGGTCTACACCGGCTCTTTAACATCATTTCCTGTTTTCTTTTGATGATTGATGTGTGCCTTCAGTCCAAGAGGAGCTAATTAAAATCAAGAGTTCAAATCTACCATTCTCTAGGGGCGCAGTGTGACTGTAATTCCTGCAGGTCTGACACAGCAGCACCATCAGCGACTTCATTCAAGGAGACACATTTCGTAGAATGACATCCTCGCCACAAAACCATAATCACAGATTTGCCTTCCAGTAAAGAACAGTGGGAAAAAGCTACAGTGTTTTATGTGTTTAAGGCTTCTGCTCAAACAGACACCAGTAATCCGATCCGGCTTTTCCTCTATCCGTGTTGACTCATGAAAGGTTTCCACTAAATCTGTACAGAACTTGTTAAATCATTCCTTCTGTAAAAATGAAAAACAATAGAGGAAGCCTTTTTTTTTCAGTTGCCTTTGTCACTTTCGGCGTAGATCAGCTTTTTCGCTCCGCGAGAGGGGAACAAAAGGAAGAGACGGATTTGCCCATGGGTAACCCTGGGAAAAAAAGCACAAGGATTAAGTACGAAAGTCCTGTATCATTAAAGGGACAAGCCGTGGATGTGCAAACAGTAATCGGATCAACAGCAGGTTGATCTTTTTCCACGAGCAAGGAATAACAACAAATCATGAAAGAGTTATTTTCCTCTGGGTGTTGTCCAAAGTCTGGCCCACTGACCGGCCATGGCACTTGGTTGTTACCTTGAAATGTTCACAAATGTATCACTCATATTTTCACTACTTTATATCAAATGTTTTTAACAGGTGCTTTATTGCAGTATAAGTATAAGTGTGTTTTGACAGCATTTCGGAAAACCTATGTTTAGCTAATTCTCTAGCTAACTAATATATTTATTTAGCTAATTTTGTCGTCAAAATGTTTTGCTAAACAGTTCAGGTGACCTGATAACCTAGGTTTTTCTGAAGGTAGTTACATTGCTATATATTTTTTTTAACGTTTTTAAGGCTGTGCCTTTATGGGTAAAAGGATATATGACAGTGATAATCAACTGGCGGCCCGTGGGCCAAATCTGGACCACCAAACCGTTCAATCCGGCCCATGACTGGATTCCAAAATAAACATTAAAAAAAAATATATTATACAAAACTGTGATTTTTTTTGGTCATTGTATTTGAGTGTCCGGCCCGCATGGTGTCTGTCCAGAAAATGTCTTGCTGTGGTCATTTTATTTGAGTGTCCGGCCCACATGGTGTCTGTCCAGAAAATGTCTTGCCCTCCGACAAATACAGTTGGGGAGCCCTGGTATAAAACTACTATTGTGAGTAGAGCAGCAGAGTCTATCTGAAGGCTGAGAGTCAAAGAACTCCCTCAGCTTGTTTGTAAAACCTCAGACATACCACAGTGTCACATAAATGAACAGGCCGGATGAATGACGGTTCCTA